TTTGTGCTATAGTCCATGGTATAAGATCACCAGAACTTCGTTGTCCATGTGTTAATTGTCGTGCAACTACATCTTTTGATAAATCACCTTCATAACAAACTTGTATAGCACATAAGATATCTGGTAATTGATTTGCATCAATTATTGGTCCAAGTAAACAATAAATATCATGGCCTGGTGCATCAGATAACATTTGAAGATCATTTGGTGAATTTTTATAATGTGATGAAACAAATAAATACATTAAACGACGTAAAAATTTTTCTGATGATTCATTATATGAAAATAATGTATCACGTGATATACAATAAAGTGAACAGGATTCAAGTGATGGACATCCGCTACTAGTTACTTTACTAAAAAAGAAATGAAATCGATTAATTAATTGATTACGAGAACATCCATAATAGGATCAAGGAACCAAGGCAATTTCTGACTCCTGGAGATACAATCCTCATAGACATTTATAAGACAATTAAGCACTATTTTCTTCATAGTAGATACGTAGCACTGAAAACTTAATCACGACTAAATTTACTATTAAAACTTGAAATGAGCTAAAAATAGAGGTTTGATGGTTTCAGACGATAAACTTGCGAATGGATATAGAATAATCAAAAATTAAAATTTAATTTGGTGTATTGGCTCCCTTATGAGTGTTTTTTTAATGTATTAAAGATAATTTTAAAATTACTTGAATTTTGAAGGATCTTGACAACAATCAAGACAAAGAAGATTATTAAGCCATAATTCAATAGGATCATCAATACCATATCGAATTGGTTCATTCAATTCTAATTCACTTAATGTACGATTATTTGTTGTTGTTTTTGTTGCTGTTGTTAAAATAGCACTTTGTTTTCGTAATTGTTCAAGAAGTTTTAATGAAAGTGACCGTCCAGTACCTTCATATCCATTGATTGTTGATGAAAGAAATACTAAATAATTGGCACCAGTTAATAACTGTTTTACAAGTGGAAGCGGTATTGCTGCTGCTTCATCTATTATTAATAATTCACATTGACTAAGACGTGATGATTCATTCGGTTGAATGTACTAGAAAAAAAAAAGATTCATGGTTATATTTTTCTATTTTCAAGTTCAATCTTGTTAGTAACCTGATCGGAGAGTAGAATTACTAATTGTTATGTCATTAATAGAAAAGAAAGGAATCGCTCAAATTGATAGAATTTTTTGAATACAGTTAAAAACCGAGCGAAAGAAAACTATTAAGCAATTATTTCTCGTTAATCTGGAACGAGTTTCACATAGTTCAACTTTTCCTTAAGAAGTTTTTATCTTTAGAATTTGGATACCTATGCCGCCAATTTTTCATCCAAATTGATGATTGATTATAGTTCATAAAAAAAAACAGTGATTCTTCTCCAAATTGACTACATCCTTTACAGAAATTTGTTTGATTCATATGACATGTCAAAGAAAGGAAGGATAAAAGACTATCCTTGCTTTTTGGCTACCATGCGATAATCAGCCTGACGCAAAGTTCTTGCGTTCAATTGCTTGGCCTCCTCATACACACTAACTAACCACAAAGCCAAGTGTATGTCACAAAGTAGTCAGTCAGTCTGTCATTGAACGGGTGATTCAAAACAAATAGCAGTTAGTGACTTGTCGAGGGTATCCGAGAGTATAGGTGCCGTGACGTTGCTGATCTACAGAAGAACTAAAAAGTCGACTGTTCAAGTGGTTTGCTCCTTTTTTTATTAACTTTGTTTTAATTAATATTGTCTATGTCGAAGAGATCGGTTCCTACTTAAAAAATGATCCAGCATATTATGTACGATGGCCGCCATACTTTTTTCTATTGATAAACTCTTGTAACTAATGACTTTGTTTTTCTTTCATCAAACTCGAAAACAGTGATTGTGGCTGGTGCAGGCGGCTTAAGCGCACTCACACTGAATAGGAGAGGTCAATAATATGTTCTTTATCATTGTAAATCTGTTCAAGGAATATCTCTCTGATACATTTCTTTTAAATTTTGACCAAGTAGCTTCGTCTATTATGATTTAGATTCTACTGTGTATTCTGAAATGTTTAGCTCAAAAAAAGAACATTCTTCAGATATTGAACTAAATTTTCTAGGTTTTTTTAAATAAAATTATCTTCACTCTGTATTTATTAGAAAACCTACTTGAATAACTTGTCGATGTTGTTTAGGTCGATGAAGAGTTAATTGAATAATATTTTTTTCTTTATGTTCATTTGATGAATATTGTATATCATAATCCATATGATCTTGATAATCAAGTGCATTAAAACCTTTTAAAATAAATTCAAATAAAATTTTTAAATTTTCAGGTGCTGGTGAAGTAACATAAATATTCGAATATCTAAATTAAAAAAAAATGAATAATCATGCAGACTTCAAACTTGAAAAAAAGAAAATTTCTTCATACCCAAATGCAATTGCACCAGCAACAGATAATCCAAGTGCTGCTGATTTTCCACGTCCACGTGAAGCAGTTATAGAACACGTATGTCGAAATGCTTTATCCGTAATTGAATCAAGTAATTTTAATAAAACTTTTCCTTGATCTAATGTTTTACAACATTCAATTAAATGTCCAATTGGTTGTGTTTCTTTTAATGAATTACATAATTTCTTTAATTCAATTTGTTCTGGTGTTAAACTATTTTCTTCTGTTTTTGATGGTAATACTTCTATAGTTAAACTTGCATTCGATGAACATGGTAATACATTAAGTTGATCATCAACAATTAAACATTGTTCACATGATGATAAACTTAACATAAAACGTTCATTAAAACGTGGTTCTGTTTGTCGATGTGTTTCAGTTCGATAACGTGCATGAACATCCATTGTTAATGTATATAATTGTTTAAGTGAACGCATTGTTTGAAGAAGTAAAACAACTAAACCACCACCTTCAACTGTTTCAATTGTTCGTGCTAATAAATTTGGTGTTAAAGCTTCAAAATCTTGTAAAACACACATTCCAAATGTACGACCAAGAATTTTTGGTGTATCAGAATAGAATGTATAATGGATTTGTGTTGAAGAAAGAAAAACTTCAAATGGATTATCATCATCACCAGCACCGGTTGAACCTGTTGCTTGTTGACGTTTACGCATTTGTTTCATACGTTTTTTACGATGACTAAAAAAATTATAAAAAAAAAAAGATTTTCTTGAAATTTTCCTATGATAGATATTGAAGTACGAACGTTGAAAAATCAAGTTCTTTTTTGTAACACCATAATACAGTTGGACGTGCTTTAATTTGGGCTTTCGAAAGCATATGATGAAGAATAACAACCTGAAGAAAATTCAGTTGAATAAAAGAGAAAATTAATAATGGAAATAGAACATTACTTGATCACGACCTTTATCGCCAACAACGACGATTAAAGAACGATGGAAAGATTTTATTCCATTTTCAATTAATATACGGATACGATTATCGATTTTCTTTTTCACCATCTAAAATAATTGCGAAAGGATTTTTATAATCATTCTAAAAATTTTGATTTCATGTTCAAATTCAAATAATCATCAACAGGAGACCTTCGAATAGAACCCGATCGGTTCTAGTCATCTGAGAAATGTGTAGAATGTACTTGTCACTGAATGAAAAACCCGGACAATGTATCTCGTATTTCTTGTGCGACTACTCGAATCCAATTAGAAAATTTCATTGAAAGCGTCAACATATGATTCAACTGGGTCTGCGTTCGAAAATTTTATACTCAACGGACTCTACGTTCGAATTCACTGAACTTTTTTCTCTACAATGAGTCCAAAATATTATTCGTGCAACTTCAAGCGAGATGTTAACAAATAGAATTTCTATCATCGTGATGTTGGTATCCTAAAGTTCATCTGAAAGTCTTATAGAAAGAAATCTTTTCCAAACAGAAAAATAACAAATACTTCTAAGTATTTCGGTGTACACATTTTATCAAAAACAAGTTCCAGATAGCCAATGAGGGAAGCTCTTCAGTTGTCTCCTTCATATTTTGATGATTTTTTGCCCACAGATACTACATGGCGTTCTAATAAAAACCCTTAGAGGATTTTGACTCCGATTGAGATTTCCCTGAGCTATCGAATTATCTTCTGTAGGCCACAGCATTTCGGAAAACTCGTATTTCGTCTAGTCGAGTTCTTTGCATGCACAAAGCTTCAGATCAAAATGCGACGTTTCAAAAAACCTGGGACCTCTCGGAAGAAAACCCCATAGCTTAGTCAAATCTCAATAGGAGTCAAAATTGTTTCGGAGTTCATATTCGAAAACTATTTTCTATCTATAAGCAAAAAATTATTGAAATTGCAAGTCGGCAATTGAAGAGGTTCTTTCGTAAATGGTTTTGTTATTATGCTAAAATGTACGTGTAGAATTGTGAAAGTTTCTATAACTTATCTAAATAGGTAATGAATGCTATACAATCAATAAAAAATCAAAATTCGAAAATCATTTTTTTATCATTGGTTAAAATAATTTACGAATAGTAGTGTTTCATAAGACCCTTCTACATGATGTTGCTTGGCTTAGTCGTTCCTTGACAGTATTCAGATTTTTCTAGATTTTATAAAAATAAATTTTCGACTTAGTATTAATTGAAAACACTGATATTCAACAGATGTCACTAGTTGTATTTATGATCAAAGATTAAATTTTTATAAAATTTTATGTAATTTATTGAAATATTATGTAATAAATACTTAATTCTTATTTTTATTCTATTGACCAATCATAAAAGCTTTTCTAAAAGAAAGGAATTCGACCAGTTAGAATAATTCTTTTCCATTCATTCATTTGTTTTTCCTATTCTATTGAAGCTTACCTAGATTTTTGTTTTAGATTTTCTGTTATTAGTTTTTTTTTGAGTGTGTGTGCGTGTGTTTTTCCTATATATTTTTTATTCTACATCATCCATTTTATATAAGTGGACAGTGATATATTATCACACAAAAAGAACGATCCGGTGGTGCTTCCAACTTCTAGAAATCAAACATGAATACTAATAATGATAATTTGAATATGATGATGGCAGGAATAGCAATACCAGATGATGGAGAAGCTGATGTATTAAATGATGAAACATTTGGTGATTGTGATTTAGAAGCAATTAAAATCAAATCAGATTTTGGTGAAAATGGGGAATTTCTTGGTGATAATCCACCAGGTGATTTACCAGCTTTTTTTGATACAGATGTACCTGATACCGGTGGTATTTCACTTGTTGATGATGATAATGATGATCAATCGCAACAACCATCAATTGATGCTTTATTAGGTGAAGATCCGATGCGTTTTTCAACAACATCAATACATCGTCGACCAGGTCCATTTATTCAACAATCATCAATAAATCCATTATTTAATATGGCTATTTCACAAGCACAAGAAAACAATCGTATGAATTTATTTCCTCAACAACAACAATCACAACACCAGCAACAGCAAATTCGGCGTATATCACCAATGACATTACCACAACAACAAATAAACTATCAATTATTAAAACAATTTGAACAAATGTTGATTAATAAACAAGTACCACCACAAGAAAGACTTATTTATATTCAAGCTATGATGGAAAAAATGCAACGTGATGCTATGAATGCACAACAACAACAACAACAACAAATACAACAGCAACAAGCAGCAAGAGTAAGAAATCATTTTATAATACTTAACAACTATAGAAAAAAATTTTAACGTATCTAGTAACGAGAAAACCTCCTCAGATGTCTCCTGCTAGTTCCAGTGATTGTTTTGTGTATAGATACAACATAGTATTGTAATAACAACTTTAAAAGGATTCGAGTTCTTATTGATATTTAACTAAACTATCAAATTTTTGTCTAGAGGTCTCATCTTTTCAGAAAATTTGTATTTTCTGGATTCGATTTGAAATTTCACGCATATGGGAAAGTCAACTAGACTAATTTCCATTAAAAGAAAATTTGAAAGTTTTGAACAAAATATCTTCGAGATATGAGACATTCAAGATATAGATCCATTCCCATGGCTAGTTGAGTTCTCTTTATGGACAAATTTTGAGACCAAAATACGACGTGTTCGAAAAACTGGACACCCTCGGAAAAAAAATTCGACAACTGAATCATTTTTCAATAGGAACCGAAATCCTTTTAGAGTTTTATTAGAACACATTTAGCATCTATATGAAAAATTTGAGCATGTTCCCTAGTAAATCAAGGTCTTAAGTTTATTAACACTTGGAAACAAAACCATGTAGAAGATCTAATTTAGTTATATAGCTTCACAAGCAGCATAGACAAGGTTTCAATTTTATAGAAAAATATTCATTAAGATTATCTTTGATTTTTGTACCGTTTATCTTTTTTATGACTGATGTTTTCGTAATTGATTAATGCCTAAACAGACGAAAGTTTCTGAAGATACGTTTGAATACTTTAACTGCGGTTCTCGTTTGAGCCTTTTTGATGCTCATTCAGAAACTACTAAAGCCAGCCACTGTTATCATAAAACATAGTTTTTGCAGGTAAAAATGACTTTTTTATGAGTAATGTATGTGAAAAATTTTGCAAGAAAATTTTTTGCGCGATTTCCAGGTGCAAAAAAAATTACCTTTATGTTGAAAGTAGCTGTAGGAGGCAACCTTGGACTGCCGGGGAACTATTTGTCTGGCTATAAGGCTAGAATTTAATGGCATCTGAAAAGCTTTACTCGAAAAACTGCAATTATTTGATACAATAGAAGCCCTCAGAAAATGTGTTCTATTTCGTGAAGTGGTTTAAAACTATTGAAACATCAATGACAGCTTTTAGTAATGCTAAATGCTGTTGACGTATCAAAATCTATCTTGTTTTTTTTTTCATATAGCTTATGAACTTAAATATCAATGGTCATGATCGTTTTCATGAAGCAAATCCAAATCGAGTCTTAAATAATCCTATGTTATATGCTCAACGTCAACAACAACAACAGCAGCAACGCGAAGCATCCATGCGTTCAATGGCAATAGGTGAAATGTTGGAACGAGCTCGTTTATCTGCTACAAATACAACAAATTCCAATAATTCACGTTCTCAATCACCATCTGTTGGTAATACAGGAATATCATCACAATTTATGGATGCAATTCAACGTTCGGATCAAATACCTATTATTGATAATCATCAACAACATCGTACAACTGAATCTCCATCATCACCACTTGATACAATTGTTAGTCCATCATCATCATCACGTCACTCAAGACAAAATCGTCCAGCAAAACATTATCCTCGACCACCACTTCTTAATACATGGCAAGGACGTGGTTCTGGTCATGATGAATTTGCTGGCTTGATGACTGATCGTGAAAAACAATGGGTCGTGAAAATTCAACTTCATCAAGTATCGCAAACACAAGAAGAAGTATGAAAACAAAAATGTCTTTCATATATATACGAAAGATTTTCATTGATTATTTGTTTACTCTTTTCATAGGATTATTATTTTCATAAATGGTCACAACAAAAACGTCATATGCAACAAGTACATGGTAATCAATCAAATCGTCATGAACATCGAGGACAATATATTAGTTATCCAGTATTGCAATTATTAAAATCAATTCAACAAGAAAAAGAGTAAATATTCGTATAATAAAATATACATTCTTGTTTTATTTATCTTTCTTTCTTTTTTAGACTTTCACAACGTTTATCTCAATCATCAATTCAAGCAACATTTAGTAATGTTAATCCAGCACATGCATTACCATATGCATCACCTATGCCAACACAACTTGGTAAACAATCAACAGCAACTCCACGACATCCAAAATGTATTCTTGATCTTGATGGTATGTTTGGTCATCATCTACTTGAAAAATATGTTTTTTTCTTCAGAAAAATCAGGAATGTAAGGATGTAGAGCTCGATTTTTTAAATTAAACATTGTTATCATTGTACTAAGACAAGAATAATGACATATTTTAAATCAGCACAAAAAAAAACACCATATCATAAATTTTCTTCGACGAATTTCACTTTTTTCTACTGAGTACCGGAAATTAATCATTCATCACGAAAAAAATGTTTTTGATAGAAAATAAGTCATATCCACTGTACAACTATCTCGAATATTGAAATTAGCATTCACTGTTAGAATTTATATTTCTCTTTCGACTAGCAAAAAATGTTAATCGATAAGCAAAAATATAACTCAGCACTAAAGACATGGCATGGGCAAGTAGCGGTTGAATTTCAAAAAAAAGCGGCGCTTCATAGACAGTTTTCAAAAACAAGAAGATGGTGTCAATGGGAGCAAAAAACCTTCGTCACGCTTCACGACTCCCATAAGTTGCGCTTCTATCGATAGACTCTTTCTTCTCAGTTAGAAAGTAACCTTAAATACAATTATCTTTATTTGATAGGTCAATTTGCATTAGGTGTACGAATTAATGCTATAACACATGATAAATATACGTTAGGTTTATTATTAAATATTGAAAATATTCATCGTGATATATTACGTTTGGATGATGATGACGAAACACCTATAACACCAAGTAAAACTCTATCTGAAACAAATACATCAGATGGTACAACAACAACAACAACAACAACAACACCATCATCAACAATTCTCGAGTCAATTATTGATCGTTATTTAAATCATCCTGATTATTTATTTGCTGATATGTTTGCACAATTTAATAAAGGTCAAATATTACTTGAACGTTTATATCCATATTTAGTAACAGCAACATCAATAACAAATCATCTTGAATTAATGCTTATACGTTTATATGGTTCATTAAATTATATGATACGTTGTTGGCCAACAACATTTCATATTGAACCAATTGTTATGAATATGATTAGTCTTATGCAACAACAAGTTAATATAAAAAAGACAACATTTGAACAATTATTATCACACGTTTATATTTATTATGATCAAAAAATAAAATCAAAACTTTTAGAATTAAATTCAACTGTATCATCAAGTCCATTTTCCGATCCAGTTTTATTTACTAATTCTCATACAGTGACTATTTTAATTGAACTTTTACTTACATTAGAACGTCGATGCTATTTATTACCTGGTATGAATTCATCAACATTACCTGTTCAATTAATGCAACAATTACAACCACAATTACAATATCAATTATCTGAACATGTTCGTTTACTTGTTAATGATTTATGTCAAGCACTTGTTTCTTGTTCATCACCAACATATACACCAAAAAAAATGCTTAAACCATTTGCACAAGTACAACAACAACAATTTACTTTACTTTGCAAATTTCTTCGAATACAAATACCACAACATATATATGCTGCGCTTGAATCAAAACTTATTTTTTGTTGTATTAAGGATATTTAAGTTGTTTGTAAATAGGTTCTTTACTTATTCGTGATTCTAGAACAAAAATTAAACGTATATAAGAGAATGTATAAGTGAAAAAACTAAAAGAGAGACAGACAGACAAAAGAAAAAGAGTGTTTTTTTTATTATCTTTAACTTATTTCTATTTTTTTTTGTAGTGTGTAAAAACACACACGATCAGAAAAGTAGAGATGAATAACTTTGAAAGTAAAATAAAGAAGAACAGCAGGCGATGGTTTTTTTTTTCTTTTTAAATGATTTGTTTTTCTAACGCCACGGTACAGGATTAATTGTTGGAGAATGTTTAATTTTTGAATGTGAAGAAGGATTTATTGGTGGTAAATGAAAGGTTGATTGGACATTTTTTTGATGTGCTTGATTTCGTGGAAATTTAGTTGAACGATGATATATTTGAGCTGAAATGAGAAATATTTGATAGGATCATTAAAAAATGAATTTGATTTTTATTACGCAAACTTCTCAAAGCATAATAAACAATATTCAAACATCATTTCAATATTCGAATTACTTCCAATGTTACTATATGCAATATGTGATATTTCTAATACTCAGCAATGTTCATTAATGCTTGATAGTCTAGGATGATAGGGGTTATGTCTATTGAACAAAAAAAAAAGACGGAAATGAAATTCTATTTTTCAATATTAAGTAATCAGAAGGTATCTCATAAATTCTAGGCTTCAATAAAAATTAGTCTGTATGTAAACAAAGAATGATTCCTATCCAACTATATTGGTACAAGCTTCAAGTACTTAAGAGAGGTCTTTTACAGTGAGATGAAACAGTTATTATTCGCTGAATATATTTATTCAACAGCAAAAGCAAAATCATGAGAAAACAAGTAACATCCAAGTTAATTTTCTCTATTGCATTTCCATGATAGATTATTTAAGTTCATTTCGTATGTCATTTTTACATTACCGATTTTGTTATCATCTAATGACTGTGATTTTTTTTTATGAATATTAGCATTTATTTCTGCTTAATATTCGGCATTAGTCCTTTTTTTAATCATAGTTATAATAAGTATCAGTTCTCTTTCTGCGCATGTTTTCTATTGTGTTGTGGACGTTATTATGAGAAAGAGAAAAGCCGTAATATGTTTTCTCTTTGAGACTGCCAGTGCAAAAGAAAAAAGATGTAAGAAGACGACTAGTACTTTATTTTCAACTGTAAGTCCTACTTTCATTATTTGTTTTTTTTTAAACTAAAACTACATTATAAGGAGAAACTGACTATAGTTTTCTTGTATCTCTGAAGTGGAAGACGTATCTACAACAAACAAAATAGAAGCACATACACATGTCGAGAAATATGAAGGAGTGTGGAGAAATATAGAAGTACAGGAGTCTGCTTTTTATACCTTGTAGTATATATAAACAGAAGAAACTTGAAAATGAAAATTTCAAAATTGACCAGTATTTTTTTTTTAGGAGTTTTTAATGAAGTATGAATTCATCATATGTAATATAACGGAAGAGCGAGAATTAGTCGAACGACAATTGGGCGACGTCAATTAGTCGCAATGTAGAATTGGTTGAATGTTTAAGAGACGTCTAATTCTTCTTCATTTTCATAAAAACTTCGTCCTTCACACATAGAATTCAATTACACAGCACGGCATGAGAATGAGAGTGGTATGTGAGCAATGAGGATAAACAGGTAGATGATCGTATCAGTTAGCAGGAACAGTATGCTAGCATTCATCTTTTGAATTTATGAAAATGTCACGAAAACATGAAAACTATTTTCATTATGTAATAGGAAAAACTGCAGCAGAGAGAAGCGTAAAAATAAGGAAAAATTATATGGATTATAGACAATTTTCGAATAATCTTTTGTTCAATCTAGTGTAATGCTTTATACACAAATAAAAGAATTTTACTAAACATTCGTATCTGTACTAATATTAGATATTGTTTTCCTTGAATAGATTATTAGTTAATTTCTGAACGTATCTGAGTTATTTCTTAGGAATACTTATAAAAATTTTTGGCAATTTTATTTTCCGGCATTTCGACCAATTGTCGTAGACCTCCTTTAGACTTACTCAACACATAGAACAGTATTTATGATAAATGATAAATAGAGTTCGTCAAATGAGTTCGGATCTGAAAATCCTGAACCTGGTGAGCTCTAGTGATAAAGCTCATTAATCAGGTTCTTTATAATATTGATACCCACCATTTGAACCACAAGAACTTCTTGGTTAGACTAGCAAAAATCTAAAACGATTGGTCCTCATGAATCATATTATGACGGTTTTATTGGATTTTCGGTTCGACTTTAGATATACACTGAAAAATCAAAACATGGAATTTCGCCTTTAGATAAATTTGGTGACCGTTAGAATATCACACAAGTTTCACCCGAATAGAATGTTTCTTTGTTGAGACATTGAATTTTCAGGCAATAGTCGTTTTGCCACAGAAATTTTAGAAAAATCAAGTTTTCTTGAAAATTCACTTCTACTGAAACTTTCAGGACATTATACGAACTATTCAATCTAATGATGGATGAAAATTTAATAAAATGGTCATAACTTGACTCTAGTGGCCCATAGGCGCGAACCATTTTATGATTTTGCTAATCTTTCTTATGAACCCAATATGAGTTCAAATGGCTGGTATCAATTATTTTGCACATAAGGAAATTTTTCATGCTTAAGTATTTGATTAACAATTTCTATGAATGCATCAATCAACTTTCGTATAAGTGCGGATTTTATTTCCTGAGCATTGACAAAAAGCTTTGATTGGTTTATCTTGAATATCATTTACTTTCATTTTGTTGCTGTTGTTCGAATCTTTTAGCTTTCTGATATGTAACTGGTCGTATAAATGTTCGTTGTTCATGAAGAATAAAATTTTGTTTGATACGTGGTGAAATATTTTTTGATTCTTTTTTATCTTGGTGACGTTTTGGTGTTGATGGTGGTGTTGGACTATAACGTTCAAATTCATCATCATCATAATTTTGATTGACAATTATTGGCATTTGATCATGAGAAGGGCCAGATGATGATTCACGAAAAGTTGGAATTTGAATAGGTGAAATCATATCACGAGTAGATAATTGTTTTGATGAACGTGTCCATGTATATGCTTTTCGCATTGGTCGACAAGCAGAATTAATTTGTTCATGAGAAAATGTTTGATCAACACGATTTGGTTGATAATGACGATGTTTAGATATAGTTGATGCTTGAGATATTCGTATTTTAGGAGAATAAGTTATAATTGGTTGTTGAGAAACGATATGATTGTGTGTATAACGATCCGATACTGAAATAGTTCCTTTTCTTTTGTAATTCTGATAGAAAACTTGTTTCAATTACCTTTTATTGGTAAATCATCACTTTTAAATTTAGTTGTTGGCGGAGATGGTCGTGTATGAAAATAAAATTTTTCTATTGATTTTGTTGGTGATAAAATTTGATTTATGATCTTGTTAGAGTTGTTTTGTGTTTGAAGAAGGGTTGTACTAGTTCGATTTAGTTTTGATTGAAGATCATTTGTAAAATTCGATTGTTTTTGAATCCATGGTGGTTTATATTTAGTTCGTCGTTCTAATAATTGTTTAGCTTGTTCAAGTGTTCGTCGACGATTATTAGATGGTGTAATTCTTTGAACTTTTTCTTGATAGTGTTTATTATTATTATTATTATTATTATTATTATTATTATTATTATTATTATTGTTGTTATTAGACATTGGTTGTTTACTTTTCTCTTGACTATTTGATAATCGTACATCATTATTTGTCTGTTGTTGTTGTTGTTGTGGTTTTTGTTGAATAGAAAATATTTTATCACCAATTCGAATGGATCGTTGTTTTATTGATTCAAATGGTAAACGACGTTGATTTCGTTTAATACATTGATTTTCATTTATATGTCGTTTATAAACATTTATATTATAACGTCGTTTACATAAATCACAAGTAATCAATTCATTTTGCTCAAGATTTGTAGTTGACATAGAAATCGTTAATTAGATAGTTTGAATCTTGTAAAGAATATATATTAATAAGTGCTGAGTTAGTAAATCTAATATGTATGATTATTAGAAATCAGTTTCTTCTCTTTTTTTGATTTTATATGGATTTATTTACATTCATAGTTATTTATATAAGAGTTCTTTTTCTCATTTATGATTTTATAAGGTGAATTGGTTACAAATTGTTAATAGAAAAAATTGCTATCTGTTTGCTAGCGACCTCATATTTGTCAAAATTACTAATGAATTATGATATGTTTAACTTATTCACCAATTCTGATAATTTTTTCTTAGATAGATACGTGATTCATATAATGATATCGTACGAAAAGCTCAAGTCTTCTGCGTTTCTCACACATGTATTCAAATCTATTGAAGCGTACTCAGGCCCAAGGTATGCATATCATTCTATTAATATATACTAACACAGCCTTCGATTCATAGCATATTGAATCATACAAATGATGAAGATTTTTCTCTTCGTTTTTTTTTTATTAGTATCTCATCGTCCGACTTGTTTCTATGTGTTTTATTTTATGGTTAGATAAAATGTAGTTGGCGTTTATATAAGTTGAGTCTTCTTTTTCTTCTGTTATATCATGTTCGAAGTTCGAAAACAAGTTCTTATCTTTTTATATTTGTTGTGTGTTATTTATAGATAAGACGCAATTGTTTTGAAATAACAGATGTCCTCGACCATGGGTGCTGCTCAGTCGTTTTACGCAGTAAAGTTTTCTTTTGGTTTTTGTTTTATTATAAAATAAAAGAATTTATATTTAGAGAATATTACGCAATTATGAACCACAATTAAGTTTATTACATGAAAAAACTCAATTATTAAATGAAAGATTGTTGAATTCATTTACACCATTGGAATTAATTGCAATAGCATCAATTGTTACCGCATGTGGTATTGGCTTTTATCGATTTTTATTTGGTCATGATGAAGGTAAATTTCAATCATTATATACTTTTTGTAGAAGATGTAATTTGAAATAGAAAAAAAAAAATCACTCATTACCCCTCTTAGCTATAATTGACGTACTATTATATCAAAATTACCTTCATGTCAAAAATAGAGACTACGACACCTTACCAATGGTTTGCTCGTTATGCTTTCTATCAATTATTGCCTTTCTTATCAAGTTTAGGTTCAATATAGACTCAGTTATTTATCTGACAGTTTTCGATCAATTAGTTGTACTATTTTCGGCGTTTTTTTTGTTAGTTATTCTCTAGATAACAGTGGTAGAGATAAATATAGTCGAATATAATAAAGTCCTTGTGAAACATCCTATATACAAAGATTCTTCTTTCGATAAGACTTTCAGCTTCGAATTTAGTACTTTAAAATTGAATTGTTTTAGACTGATTGTTGTAATGTTACTGCTATGTAGTATATATGAAGTTATAAAATATATTTATCGGAAAAAGAGATACGTGGGATCAGAATTGTGAGAAAATAAAAATTTGTCCTAACAGAAACTAAAGATTATAGACTGAAAATGTGTGTGCCCATGCTTTGTCAAGAACGCCAGTCCGAGATACAATTCTGTTTCGACTACCTAAGTGCTAAGAATTATGATAGATGACAATAAATAGCATCTATATCACCTTTGAACTTCATAACTTCGGAAAAGATGAATTTTCTGGATCTGTTAACGGGTCATTATTTAGCGTTGTATCTCAGCTATTTATACAACTAATGCCATTGGAATTTATCAACTGTCTCTAACATTATGACAGTTAACGTGGAGAAAAATCATCTTGTGTCCTTTTGAGACGAAAAAACAGTAGTAATTCAATGAATGAAGCTTAAACTCTTAGAAGAACTACCTCTACAATTGGACATTAGCGTCTACAAATTTCATCAACAAACTATGCATTGATGAGGAATATCATAGCTATGATCGTCGTGTTGACGAGGAGAAAGATTCAGAAACATCTATAGATGTCAATATTCGAGCAAATGAACTCTCATCTTTCGAGTAAAGAACGATCATAGATAGACTGAGCTCCAGTCCAACTCAACAACATCAAGAATTGATCATGTATTTGATACGAAAATAGTGTAAAATTGAGTGGGTAGTCCTTTTCAGGTTAAAAAACTTAATGCAAAAATAGGTTTCATTCATCATAATTATTTTTATACGTAAGCAATTGATAATGACTGAGACTGACTAAATAAATCAAAACGAAAAACGAGCATTGAAGAATTTTGTTTAGATGTAATACAAATAAATTCCGGAATAGTTTTCTCTAGACCAGGATTGAGATTCTTTACCCCGCGCATCTCTAATCGTGAAGAATTTTTGTGTTTTTTTTTTTTGTGAAAGAAGATCTAAAAGGAGTGTTGAAGTATATAGGACAGAAATTCACAACTTCATGGATTATGACAGACTCTAGTCAGGGACCGTATATCAGTAAAATCTCGTTATAACATATGAACTACTTTCTTATTGCATTTCTGGAGGATTAAGAAGAATTATGGTGATCAAATGTGTCCCAAAACAAGTAGAATAAAGCGATCTTCCTACGATTGATAACAGTTGCTATATCATGTTTCTCATTTGAATCCTACAGGGATTTCGTTAACAACTTGTTAAACGTTTTTAAATTTCTAAAAATTTACTGTTGAGTTTCAAAAAAAAATTTCAACAGTTAAGGACTTAAGAACAGTAGTGATTGGTTAACATTCAATGTAAAAATTTCATTTGATATAATCTAGTTTAATTTTCACTTTGTGGTGAAAACAAAATAGAATTATGTTTTCGTTGGCTATACGTTTAATAGGATAACATTGATTTTAAACTTTACTGAACAATAGAATAGACAATATATAACTTATTTTTAATAAAAAATTAATTTATACAAATTTTCTTAGACATTCCTACGCGAATTAAACAAACAATATTTCGTTTGGCTCGTCATTTACCTATTGTACAACGTGAAATTGCTAAAGCACGTAATGATACATTAAAATCAGTCTATGCTGATATGGCAAAAAGTATTCAAGGACATGAATTTGCTAAAGCTTTACCAGAAAAAGGACTTTCAAAAGTAAATTATTGATTAATCAATACAATATATATATTATCTTCTTATTTTGAAAAATCTTTCAGGATGAACTTATGGATAAACTTCAAAATTATCGAAGTTTTGAAAATATTAATTACTCATCTGGTAAAGTTTCTGGCTGTGTTTATAAATTATCAAAATCGGATACAGTGGAAATCTATAATACAGTATATTGATTTTTTTAATTCAAATTTTTAAATATATGTTTTTCTTTTAAGGTTTTTAATTTATTCGGTGATACAAATCCACTTCATGCTGATGTTTTTCCTGATATCCGAACAATGGAAGCCGAAGTTGTGCGATGTGTAGCAACAATGTTTCATGGTGATGATAATGTTTGTGGAACGGTAAATTATTTTTAATTGAATATTTAACATCGTCATTAGTCTTTATTTAGATGACATCTGGTGGCACAGAATCAATATTAATGGCTTGTAAAACCTATCGTGATATGGCTTTAGCAAAAGGCATTAAAAATCCAGAAATGTAAGTGCATATATAACATATTGTATTAAGCACACACTAGGAGGTTTATATACGCCATTACTAAGTGGTCTTTACGATTAAACATATACATATAGTCATTCGCATATCTTTTCATTTCACTTGTTGACGCATAGCAAAAGAAAGGAGAATAAAGACGATTGGCGGCGAGTTCTGACAATAGACACATCAGTAGTGATGATGATTATTATATTTGTATGTGTACATGCTCGGTCTCGTCTACCGCACACAGCATAATCATGAATGCATTCAAGCTTTTCGTCTGTCTCTATTTGAAAAAAGAAAGAGGAAACCGTAGATTAATGTTCTTTTCTTTTTCTTAAAACATGCTCGTAAAATAAAAAATACTCATAAACAAAAAAAACAGAAGTGGAAATGATATTTGCCGATATGATGAACTTGTTCCAAAAAGAAATTCGTCCGATTTTAAGTAAAAATCATTATTACATTGTTCACTGTTACATCGTTTTATGGTAATTATATCAATATGAGAGGATGATGATAATGATAATGAACCAAGTTTTGATTCAAGTAATATATTTCCTTCAATTGACATATCATCATATGGTGAACAATCTCGTATAGCTCTTGTTAATGTTATTGGAAGAAGTTCACGTTTAGATATAGATGATGATGATAACGAACGATTATTTATAATAGCAAAATAGCAAAATGTTCTACATGTTCGTACGGGTATTTGTTTTGTAAATTCTCCACAACCAGGTCCATCAATAAAATTGTCACATGTTAAACATTGAAAATCATATGCATTGATTATTGGTGAATAATCAGTTAACATTAAAAAAAGACTAAATAGGAAATTTAAATAGTATAAATCCATTCCATTAGATATCTAAAATAAATAGGTCAATAGATAATCAACCTTGAAAAATACATAAAGCTCTTTTTTTTTATCCTATCTTCATTTCTTCTTTTTTATCTGTATATAATATCTATATATATCTATATATATATATATTAGTAAACCTATTCATAAGGCATCATATATATCGTTTTGTCGCTCGACTGATCTGAATGCGACACGCCGCTTGTTCGATTACATCATTACGTACGCTCGTATATACACACTTGTTGTTTCGTCACTCATTTTCGATAGGAAATCTATAATGAATTAATGTTCTTCTTGATGTTATTCGATTCATGCTCGACTGAATCAGTAAAGAAACATATACATATATATTATTTACAAAAAAAAAAGAAATTTCTTCTACATAGATTTTGTATTAAAACATATAATTGGCTCGAAGAATTGGATAGTAATGATCGATCTAATGCTGTATGCATTGTCATCGATCAATGTAGAGTTATCTTTGACTTAATATAGCTCCGAGAATAAGAAAGCGGACAAGAAAAAAAAATTGCATCACGTACATGTTGTAGAAAACGAACAATTATCTTGAAAACTTCCAAGAATGAAATTTTCTCTTATAATCCTATTTAATAAAATCGAAGATGAGTCGGCGAGAGAGAAAAAAATTGAGTAGGAGGAGAAAAAGAATCAACGCTAACAGGATGAATTTATCTCTGGTCAATTAGTCTATAAGGGTATATAGTATGTGTTTGATCGAGGCGACTTGTATATGTTAGTATCATTATCGAAGCTTGAATGCTCATGTTGACCGTTCAATATAAATAAACAATAGAAGAAAAAAAAATGAGAGTCGCCTATAAGCTATGATTGATTCGATTAGAAAAGGTGTTGTTATTATTCTTTCTATCAACTCACATGTGAATGTAATGGAATGTATAATAAAAAAAAATGTGATGAAAGGGAAGGGTAATTCAGTTGTTCTCATCAACAAAACTATTGCATTGTTGTTACTCTCGTTCTCATTTTTTTTTTCTTCTTTTTCTTCTCCTTCATCTTATTCTCTCATCGCGGACACAAACATACACATCGATTGACCTCAATCAAAGAAAAAAAGGAATAGTACAGTTTTTTTCTTCTACCTCATTCATAGGTTCAACTAAACAAGGAAGAATACGACTTTGACATTTTCTTTTACTTTTGTTCTCATCGGTCTCTTCATACAGGTGTATATATATATATATGGAGTATATCTGATGATTACTCTTATTATAATAATCGAGTTTGAAGTAAAGACTAGTCAGACGAAAGCAAAGAACAAGGAAATAGAATTTTTAGTATGTATTGCCTCGAGATAGATAAAGTGACCAGTTAATAGAGTCTCGTTACATTATATTTCCGCTCGTAGATCAAAAAAGAACGGTCAGATATCGGTGAGATTTATACCGTATGTTGTTTATCTCAATCAGTACATTGTCAAAAGTATGTGTACTTAGCTCGATTTTTCTTCTTTTCGATTTGATCTGATAACCAGATCATGTAGATGCACTTGACTTTCAAATGGTTTATGTACTAATTCAGTCGCTCGAAGAAAAAAAAGGTGACTTTTTATTACATAAATGATTTGAATTCTACTTTACTCTTTGTCTCTAAATGAGTTTCTAACTCATGCTTTTTAGCCATGATTGATGATGTCAATAAAAGTGAATACTCAGATATAATTACATTATCATTAGTAGTCGTGTATCATTTGAGACATACCCTTAAAACGGTGGTCGACGCTATTGCGATTAACTTTTTTTTTTTCTACATTACTTCACTCTTTTAACATAGAATAGAGTGTCTGTCTGTCTGTCTATCTATCTTAAGAAGAAGAAGAAGAAAAATAGGAAGCAGGATGACATGCCCGGTTGATTGAAGCGACGGAAAAGAGAATGGTCACTTCACTTTCTCTTGTCTTCAACCGAAGAAAACGACATCAAATTTTGAATTATGATGGAACCAGACGGAAAAAAGAAGAGACATAAGGAAAAAGAAAAAGAAAAGAAAGAGACTAGAATACTATTGTTATGCTGTCAAAATATATCAATAGATTAATCGACATAAATCAGTTGATGACAATGCAAGCATATTAGTTTTCCGATTCGCATGTATGTATATGTAATTAATTGATAATGACAAGAACAGAAGAAAGTGAACAATTACAAGAGAGATAGACATTCAATATTTCGACAAATACATCATATTTATGAGAGTTTCCGAGTGTCTTTCTCGACTAATACTTGAAAAGAATCGAAGGAATCTCAAGTGATACTCTATTACGAATTCTTCTTCATAGTTGACATTAAAATAAATAAAAAGTTACATATATACATAGAGAGAGAGAGAGAGAGGGAGAGAGAAAGTGATGATACCTGTCAAGAACATAAAAAGAAAAAAAAGAGATATTTATTTTTTTGCGTGTTATTTAATCTAATTATAGATAGAATCCTAGTGTTATTTTCTTCTTCTGACATTGCCGACTAGAAAATGTTTGTGTGACAAACAAATGCAAGTATCTTGCTTACACGTTTGTAAGATCGATTAAATGTAACCGAACACGCATTATAAGCATGAAATCTCTCCGGAACTTGTTCTATCTCGTTCATCGAGCTAATGTGCTTGATTCAAGCCGATTTATAAGAGAAAAAAAAGGAGAAATGATGCCTACTTTTCTTCTTCTTGTCTCTCTCTCTCTTTCTCTCTCCTTTAATATTAATCGTGTTCGAATAACGATGCATATGTGAGCGAGATCCTCTGCCTTGACAAGATGCAGTCACGCGGTCAGTAGTAACTAACGAGACTGCAATTAAACATACATGCTTTTATTTCCGCCGGCAGAGTTCGTACTCGTGCTTACGTATCTGGTCTTTACATAAAAAAAAAAGAAAGAAAAGAAAAACTTCAAATCGGACCTTGCTTCCGTCATTATGAAAAGAACGTATCAATTTTTTCTTCTCTATAACTAAAAGAAGTAGAAGAATGAATGTGTCATAATCATTCTTCGATCGCGTGTGTGTGTGTATGAATATAGAAGTGAACTGATATATTAACCAATCTGGTTGACACCTTATTCTTTCTTTTCCTAATATGCTTGTTTGCATTGTCTTTTAAAATCCTTCTTATAACATTTTCTACAATGAATATCAATAATTATTCAATAATTTGTTTGTTAATATTCAACAAGACATTGTCATCTGATGTTAGAATTCTTTATTTACCATATGTCTTATTATGTTGGTGAAGAAAGAGATATGCAATTTGTGATTCTTTCTATCACATCTGATTGAGATCAGCATTTGTTCTTTTATTCTTGTCAGACAAAAGGATTTTTTTACACATCTGACTAGCACCTGTGTCTTGTTGCTGCCAAATAGCTATCTGTCAGCCGTACAATGGACAATATTACCATCTTATCTCTCTATCTTCTGACAATGCACATATACACACGCACACATCTCTGCATGATTGTTCACAGTAATTCACTGCATTTTATCGAAGAGAAACAGGTTATAACAGTGATGCATTCGTACTAATCAAAGATACAGGAGAGAAAGAGAATGACGTGCGCAAGCTGTGACTCATTGTTTTTGTAACAAATAATCAAACTAATTCTTCTCCTCTACTTGTTTCGAAAATAAAAAACGCAGTTGATAGTAGCACATATTTCTCCACCCACCACTTACCCTTCTTCTTTCTGTCGTCTTTTCCCTTGTTATTAACACAAACGAAAGAAGGCTCCCTAGTGAGAACGACCGGACACTCAAGAATGCTATGTAGTCAGGCAGCCATGAAGTGGCTTCGCCTTCTGCCTCTCTTTCTCTCTCTCTTCCTCTCTCTATGGAAAGAAAGACTATTTAACATCTATTCTTTCTGTTTTTTATTGAATCTCTCTTCTCCTTATGTATATATATATATATATATATAGCTAAAGGGAGTACATATACAACGAAAAGAATACCTTGAAAAAACGGATGAGGTTACGTATGTTGAATTTATTTCAATCAATCATACGCACGCTTATACGTATGGACATAAATGGCTACTGGGCTTTGTCAACATCAGATGTGCATGTGTGTCGTTAAATGTTTGTATCGACTATTTGTGTCTGCAGGTTACTACTATAAAACAAGCAAAAAAAAAACAATTACTTTAACTTTACTAAGCAAGAAGAAGAGACCTTAGAGATAGTGTCCAAGTATGACGATGAATTATCGATTATCTCGTTGAAAAGGAAGAATCAATAGAAGAGATTCCCGAGAGATTGAATTTAATACGAAATTGTTATCAATGAAAATGAAGATATTGTGCCATCGAATGTTCTATTGCAAAAGTTCTTTTTTCTTTTTGACTTTCTAAAAATGAAGTCATTTTCTATATGAACAAAACAAAATGGGCTCCATTTGTTTCCAAGGTTATTTATATTATTATTATATATATATAAGAGAAAAAGGCACTTACATTTTCCGATAGAAATGACTTATATTTCAATGGATTTTATGATAAAAATATTGTGCATACTTATAAAAAAAATGTCAATATTGATTGCATTTATCAGGCTTTTTTTCTTCTTTGTTTGGATTGAGAAAATTTTGAAAACCGATATCAAAATTATCGTGCGAGATATATCAATTATTTCTTAATAACATAAGACTTCCATCATTTCGATATGTAAACTGAAGCAATAGAAATAATAGAGCAATTTTCTTTTTTTTTTTATTATTCTAATTTGTTGAAAGAATAAACGAAATTGTGATATTTGACTTTATAAATAAACATCCATTAGTTGAATAAATGGTAATAACTAATGTATTTTTCTTTTGTAGTGTCATGCCTATAACAGCTCATCCAGCCTTTCATAAAGTATGAAGGAACTTTGTTTACATATAAAGAGTGTCTCATAACAACTGAGAATAAATTGTTAACATATTTTTTCTTGACCTAGAAAGCTGACATATTTATTACAAATATATCTAGTCAAAATATTTAATATTCCAAAGTTTTAACTCTCTAGATAAATTAATGCTAAAAATACATGAATTTTTGTACTTGATATTTATGACATTTTTATTTCTTGATCAGTGATATTTATAAACATTGTACGAAAAGAAATTTTACAGGACAAATTTTTTCAAATATATAAATTATAATTTAAAACTCAATGTGTATGAATATGCTCTCCATTGCTTTCTATGACCAATTGTAATTGAAAAGATAGTTCGTCCATTATTTTCTTGCACATTTTTCTTTCGAAAGCTTCCTATACATTTTCAGTTCTTCATATATCAGTAAATTTGGCATCTCTATCTATTTATTCTATACATTCATTAAATAATTATGCTAGGAACCGTGCGAACAATACTCTATATGATTTTAAGATAATTTAACTTCAATACAAACCATTAAATGTAAAAGGCTTTAGACATAAATGTATTCCTATATAATGAAAACAATTCTTGGCCACTTTGTGAGTTAGGATGCTCTTCGCCGAGATTTGGTGACGTGACTGTCAGCAGTAAATGTTTCCGATGATATTCTGAGACTATACCTGCAATACAAATTTATATATATGATAAATATTCAGAAAGAGTGAGCGTAAGGAATAATCGCCGAAATGAAACTCACGAACATACACAATTGATTTAAATGATGATCTACACAATTCAGCACTAGTTTTAGCAAGAGAATTAAAATTTTGGAAAAATGAAGGCCTTGATTAGATATATATCTGGAATAAAAATTTTAGCTTTCTACATCAAGAAAAAGTAGAGTAACAATTTATCCTCAGTTAATATGAAGCACGTATTGTATACTTTTTTTTATACATATATATAAATACTTATTTTAGGCTTCTTCTTATTTTAAAATGAGAATAAAACGTATTCCAGTTGATCCTAAAACACTCGAAGTTGATGTTAAAGCAATGCGTCGAGCAATAACAAAAAATACTTGCATGGTAAAAAAACTTCTATAAGAATAAATAATTGAATTTTAATTTGAAAATATTCTTTTAGCTTGTTGCTTCTGCACCAAATTTTCCACATGGTACTATTGATCCAATCGAAGATATTTCTGAAGTAGAAACATTTAGATTTTCTTTTTAATATGAAAACTTATTGATAAATTTCTTTAGATTGCACTTAAATATGACATTCCATTACATATTGATGGTTGTTTAGGTGGTTTTATTATTGCTTTTATGGATCAAGCTGGCTTTCCATTAAAACCTTTTGATTTTCGTGTACCAGGTGTAACGAGTATTAGCTGTGATACACATAAAGTATTACATTTAATTGATTATTAATGTAGAAAATGATTTGTTTTTCTTTTAGTATGGTTATTCACCAAAAGGAGCTTCAGTTATTGTTTATCGAACTCCTGAAATTCGTTCATATCAGTTTTATGCATTAGCTGATTGGCCCGGTGGTATTTATGCATCACCATCAATTGCTGGTAGTCGTTCAGGATATATAATAGCTTGTTGTTGGGCTACACTTATGTATTATGGACTTGAAGGTTATGTTGAAGAAACACGAAAAATTGTTCACGTAACACGAGATATTGCTGATGGGTAAAACTAGATAAACACTTTCGATAGTTTGATTTCTTTTTTTAATTTTTTATTTGTTATATAGTTGGAGTAAAATTGATGGTTTATATCTTTTACATAACCCTGATGTAAGTGTTGTATCTGTTGGTTCGGACAAGTTTAATATTTATTATGTACTTGATGGATTACGTGCTAAAGGATGGCATTTAAATGGTTTACAAAATCCACCTGGGTATATAAATAATTTGTTTTTTTTTCTTCTTTTTGAAACAACTTGTTGTCATATTTAAATTGTAGTTTACATATTGCTGTTACTCAACTTCATACACAACCAGGTGTTGTAGAAAAACTTCTCGAAGATACACGACAATGTGTTGCTGAAGTTTTAACAACAGATAATATGGATGATACACCTACAGTAAAAATTTAATGATTATTTCAAATTTGTATCATATTTACTTATTGTTTTCTATATATTAGGCAGTAATTTATGGTACAAATCAAAAAGTACCTGATAAATCACTTGTCTGTGATATTGCGAAATTGTATATTGGTGCATGTTATGACACAAATATACCAGCGACAACGACTGCTGATTAAGCAACGAAAATAAAATAATGAATAATTTTTTTTTATTATTTTTTTGGAACCAAGTGACATGTGTGTTTTTTTTCTAATAGTCATTCATAAGCAATAATTCTTATATCTATGAATATATTTTTATAATCCATTATTTTTTTTGTCTTCAAGAAAAAAAAAGAAATTTTTGTTTTTCTTCCTACAGTGAATTTGTTATGGATCGGTATTGATTTTTTTTAGAAAAATAATTTATATATTGTGTTTTATTTATTACACAAGAAGAAGGTACTGTTTTTTTTTCTTACATTAATCATGATAACATTAGTAAAGATGGGAGAATATTGTTTATTATAATATGTATGATTTCTTTATTCTACTAATATGCTTTTTGTGTGCCATGTGAAGTTGCTTAAAGAAAAGAGATTTCATTATAGAATATTTCAATGGATAAAGAGAACATGAAAGTAGTACTAACACAACCTTCTAGTTATAAAGGTTTGTTTGATTTTCATGTCATATTGGTATGTTTTTTTTTTGTTCTTCATATTTTATTATAGTCTTATCATCGTACAATCAGTCTCATATACAATCATCGCCTACAGGTATTCGTGGAGGAGGTGGCTCATATTTTCATTTGTAAGTTACAATTTTTCTTTATTTTTTGATTTTGTATTTTTACTAAACTATTTATTTTAATAATACAGGCTCTATGGTTGTTTATCTGGTGTCTGTATTTGGTGTATAATGGAAGAATGTTGTTAATAGATATTATGTTCATACGCAGATCTTGTAACAAAATTTATTTGTATGTTAATATGAAAAATAAACTATGACGTATTCATAACTTGATTAGGCATGTACCCAAACCACTTGGGTCGTTTTTGCCTAAATTAAGAAAAATATTCTTGTCTACTAAATCATTTGATATGACATTTTTCTGTCAGTAGAAATCTGAAGCATAATGATACTAGAGAATGTCAAAATAAGGATTCCGGCAACCTTGTTAGACTCAGTGCTAGAGTCTATCAAAACACCCAAATGCAAACTCATTGAGTTTGACTTGTTTTTTTCAGTAGATCATTTTCTGTTTGGTTGTCAAGAGCAAACATCTTTCTTTCATACATTTTATTGACATACTTCATGTTCAAATTTTATTAGTAGGTTTGGATTGATATCTAAATTTGATGCTTATTTCGATTGATATTTGTTATTGTCAAAAACACATAAATACAATTAATAATTGTTAAAATGGCATTATAAACTATATTCTTTTCGAATACAAGTTCAGCGAAATTTTCAATAATATATTTCTGATAAAGAAGAAATTCAATTAGAAATACAATAGAACCTGTCATTGTTAATAGAGATGTAACTAAATGAATCTTACTATTTGAGAATGATAGCAATTATTATTCCAACTACTCATATAATAACAACAGCTATTTGTAAACCTTGAGATTTTTTCAATATAAGTGTGTTGATGGATGTAGACATAACAATTTCATAGAGATTAATTGTAGCACGCTGTTGAAAGAGGAGACGTTATAACTAGATAGTATTTGAATTTCATTCGATTGCGAAATGCAGTTTGAAGCGTCGAATTTGAATTATCAGGAAAAGGGATATCTACAAAACAATGAATAATCGTTTTTATGATTAATCAAACAACATTTTTCCGCATGAGATATTTACAGTTCACAGGAAGAAATTCCTTTCCTATCATTCTTATTGGAAACTCGATTTATTTACGCTGCGGTCAATCCACTACTTGAAACAGAAGATGAATTAAACAATAGATATGACAAATTGCATTATTAGGAAAGCCCTATCGAACGATATTGATTGATCATTTAGTTAATATATGACGCATCATTTATAGTCATCTGTATCCACAGCTGTCTTAGCTATAAGCAAGAAGAGTGGCGGCTAACTTTTGTTGTTGTCTTCATTATAATTATCAAAAAACTTGAAAAAAAAAGTTCACGAAAACTTATCTTTTTGGGTGAATTTCGGTAAGAAGACGGATACTATCAATTTGATAATGACATTTCATTCTCGCATTTGAATGAGTATTATTTTGACATTTGCATCTTGAAATCTTTATGACAATAAATAACAAATTTTCATGCCTAAGTCGAGAGAGAAGGAAAAGGAATAAAAAATTCACTACGTACTATATTAATTAATCAGTCAATTCATTCTTTTATTTTTAACATACTTTATTTTTCTCATAAAAGTTGATTTCAATTAATTGCAATGGTCACTCAAATAATTATTATCCTTATATTCAAGAATTATTCGAACATATTGTCGGTCAATCAACAAATAAAAGCTCGACTGGTTCTCATTAGTGTTTTTTTTTGTTCGCTTAGACAAATAATGTTATGTCAATATTTAATAGACTCACGAACTGAGTTTAGTTAAAAACAGAAGTATCTTCGTCACAAATTTCTTAATGCTGGTGAAACTAATAATGATAAAATTTCATTTAAATCTGTTAGTCTCGAAAACTAAGTACCAACCATTAAATAAAGTCTTAATATGGAAATATTTGTAGGAAATTATATTTTTACAGATGACAAGATAATAGTCTTCGTCAAACTAATTATAGAATATTTTTTAACTTTTCTACTATCGAGTATGTAGGGAGATTAAGCTATTCTTTATTTGCTTTTTTAGTTTTCATTCTTAATCAGATATTTATGATTTAACTGATAATAAACCAGAGTGTTAAATGAAAATTATGCAGCAACGTAACAATATATGATGATGACTAGGTAGATAAATGCTGTGGGTGAGAAGAAGATCTCATCCACATCCTTCTGTCAGCTTTTCTCAAGGATATTATTAGATTTCTTGACGGGATCTTTGCAAGATTTCCAAAAGAGAAGTGAACATATAAAGGGGGTGTGGGTGTGGGTGTGAGCAAAAGATTGACACCCACACCCCAAATAAATATTCTATTTTAGCAATTTTCCAAATGACTTTTCCAGGTAAAAGTACAAAAATAACTGGTATTATCGACCTAAATCTCATATTAATTTCAACATAAATGTTTGGAAGATCTAAAAAAAAATGCTGGGATTTTTTGTCTTGAGCCCTCTGTTTATTCATACTAAGATTTAAATTTGATTGCCATAAAAATAGTGGTAGATTTTTGTATTCTATCAGAATTGAAACAGCAGATACTAAAAAAAACGAGTAAAACCTTGATGAAATCTTTACATTCATCTTGGTCAAGCTTCTAAACAGAAACAGTTAAAATCTTTAAAGAATCTTGAAAATTAAATTCTGAAAAGACTTTAAATAAACCTTTCAAAGGTCTGAGCTAGATCCTTTAATTTTTCTACCACGATTCTGATCATGGTTGGTGTTGTCTTATAGGAATTCGAAGACTTTTGTTTCTGAAAAAATTGGACCAGGATGCTGATCGAAACTTGTCAGGATTCATTATTTTACAATTCTGACTAATTTTGTCTGCTTTCTTGTTAAGATTCTTCTCAGCTATAACTTCAAATCTTCTTCATTGCATCTTCTTATCGAGAGTCAAAACAAATCTTGACTAAAACCTGATAAAATCTAAGCAAAGTCCTCTCTTGTGTAAGCTTGCTAACGACGTTTAACAATTTTTATCATACAGCTGGTAAATTAAATCAATAATATTTATGTCTGGCCATAACAATTTAGTTTTCTTGTAAAATAAAAAACTGACGAATACATTTAAAATTTCAATAAACGATCTATAATGTTACCAAAGCTTCGAAAGATGTCATCAATATTTGACTTAATCACTGTTACTGCTGCAACTTGTTTTGATTATCTTGAAAAACAACAAAGTTCTCATTTCAACATCGTCATTTTGTGAAATGAATTGAGAACAACTGAAACTTCGTATCGAAATTTCAAAAAAAAAAGGTTGATCATATAGGAATATGGAACTTTGTAAAAACGTTTGAACAAAAAATTGTACGACTCTCTGATCTTTAAATCATCGCGTCACAAAATAGCGACTCGAGTGATGGATCGGAAAAGTTGCTATACAATGCTTCGCAATATACTAACATATTATCTACTGAAGATAATTTGTGCATGAATCCAATTCGGCATAGCAAGATCTATAATACTCAAAACGATCGAAAGAAGACCGATTATTATATTAAGTAAAATTAAAAGTAACTATTAGAAAAAATTTAAGAGCAAGAAATTAATTTTATTAATCGAAATATTTTAAATACCGAAATCAATTGTTTAAGATTCCTTATCTTGCAAAAATAGTTATAAAAGATAAAAATTTTTTTTTTATTTCTTAATATTAATCGAAAATAATAATAAAAATATCGATAGACTTTGAATTTTATGATTTTTAATCATTATTTGCTTCAGTTTTTTTCTTCAAATATTAAATACTTTTAATAAATATTGACTGTAGCAAGAATATGTCGATGAATATAGCCAGCAGTAAATGAAAAATAAGCTGTTAAGAAACATCCAATAATACTAGTCGAAATCATCAATATCATACTTGAACCCAAATGTAATTTTGTAATTGTTAATGTGCTATTTATTTCGACTACATATTTAATATAAAAAATAAAGCCCAGAAAAATCATTATTGTACCAATAATAAGAATAATAGGTGGAATAAAATGAATACTACGTTTATTAACGAATGCAGTACATAAAACACCGACAAAAAGTCCGATTACTAATATAATATAGCCAATAATTTCCAAATATTGAGGCATTCGAAAAGAATCAATATTCGTACATTTATTTGTTTCATTTTTATTACATTGTCGAAAAAGATCATAAATAACTAGGTATGATGATTGATCATGATTAATGCTTATCCAAGTTGATGTTGTAAGTGCAATAATACCAAAAATAATTGCAAACAGACCAACAATGAAACCTATAATTGCAAATTTATGATAATAATGCATCGTTACCATATCAGAATGTTCACTTCTACGATCATTTTTTGTTATTAATAAAAGAAAAAAATAAACTGAAATATTTAATATATTTGCATGAGATAAGAAAAACAAAACTTTTTATTGAATCATCTGTCATAGGCATCACGTTCAAATATATATATATATATATATGAGCGATAAATCATTTTTGTCGTTAACAAAAGGGTGAATTAATAATGTATGAAAAAGATATTCAGCAGAACAGATATTTATCTTGTTGCATGAGTAAATATCACCTATATTATGTGATATTAGTATTTTATACCGACTACTATAAGTAACTAACTCAGGAGCTCCAGGTCCAGTACTCAAAAATATGAATCCACCATTCCCTCAAGATTAGTATCGATCAGTATTAAAAATTTTTTGTGCAAGATTTTATAAAACTGATATCATTTATTGTTTTGAATGCAAATTCAATGCAAGCAACTTGAATTTCCTGCTTAATTCTTATCTGAAATAGGTAGTTCATTTTTATAAGATGCATAAAACTGATTGATAAATTGAGTATTGGAAATTGTCATTTTTTTTTTCTATTTCGATAACTACAAATATGTCAAGATAATGAATGAGCATCGGAAGATGATTTATAAATAAGTAACTCTTTATATTGAGTGCATATAAAATATTCTATTGTCTTTTTTGTTAACATGATATTCTTTTCAAATAAACGAAAACGTTTTATTTATTAAGCATTGAATGATAAGAAAGTGAAACAACAAGAAATCACTGTTAGTTATCCTTTTTTCTGAGTGTAGCCAATAAACAGCTAAAATCTTAATCCTTGACTTGTTGATGTATGCAACGAGTGCCATTATTTGAGTATCAAGAGTCAGCGAGAGATTGAAGTACTTTTTCTTCTTCTTGTTCATAAACAACATAGATCGTGGTTATCAAGCTTTTATAATTATATTGAGTCAATATTTGTGCTAGTGGAAAATAGAAAAGTTGCTGTCAAATTTTTCTACTCCATTTTCAATCGGCATGCATGTCCATCGAATTACTAAAGAATTCGATCATTATTTACTCACAATGATACTAATTTATAAATACTTTTATTTACTGTCGACCTCAAAAGTCTCGCCCCACTTTTTTGTTTTGAGTCGTGTATTAAAACTATACAACATTAATTTAATTCAATTATATGTTTGGATAGCAGAGATCGAGTAGTATATATATACACCTGTTCAATTTCGAAAAACTCTTGAATATGAAATACAATAAGAAAAACAAACTTCAGTACTAAGAAAAAAATGACATAAAAAACTACAAAATGATATTGTTGTTATAGGATACTTCCATGGTCAATCAACCACGAAAAACACAAAGTATTTAGAAAATTTTTCATTTTATTAGACTTCGTAGAGCTTTTTTCACTGATCATTTTGGTAAAAAAACGTTTTGAATTTCATTGAGAAATGACGGCATTATAGTCAAAATATTAAATACTGTGAAATATTGGGTGTCCCAAAATGTTTGCAACATAGTGTGTTCTGCGAATATCTCTGCACAGACAAATGATAAAATCTTGATTTTTCTTTCAAAAGATGTGTCGTGGAAAGCTCTACAAAAACTGTAAGAACACAACCCTATTAACTTCTTTTGATGGTTTCTTCTATACTCAAAATGAAAAGAAAATACATGATAGGGCTACTTCCCACAGTATTTAACGTAATGAAAATGTTTGGAAGACTTTTATATTTTGCATGTATCTCGACTTATGAAAATAATAGCATCTTGTTTTTTTTTCAAAAGATGCGCCATCCAAAGCTCTATAAAAGCCGTATAAACAAATTCCTATTGCAAAACAAAAAGTCTTCCAAACATTTTTATTATGATTTTGTAGTTTTTTATGTCATTTTTTTCTTAGTACTGAAGTTTGTTTTTCTTATTGTATTTCATATTCAAGAGTTTTTCGAATTGAACAGGTGTATATATATACTACTCGATCTCTGCTATCCAAACATATAATTGAATTAAATTAATGTTGTATAGTTTTNTATGGCATAGGGGTTCTCGAAAAACCGGTTTTTCAAGGCATAAACCTCGACCTACGGAAATTATTTTTTGTGGATCGATGGAGGGCACTACAAAGCATCGATAGCGATCAAAAACAAAAAATCAAAAAAATTTTGATTTTCATGTCCGGAAAGGGGAGGGGTCCCCTTAAGCTGAAAATCAAATTGAGATATTTTTTTTTTAAATGAAACATTAATGATTTGTTTAGGCTATTGAAAAATATACAACACTTCTTCATAATACGAAGAAAAAATCCTTAGTTTATTTATCATTATATAATGCTAAAGTTGAATTATATGAATCAATGATTGTCGATGAAATTCGTCGTTGTAATGATACAAATTTATGTTGGTTAGCATTAAATGCATTAACACAATATAAACCGGAAAAATTTTCCAAAGAAATTATTGATATTCTTCGTTCAATTTATCATGAACAAGCAGGAAGACCAAAAACAAATTTACAAATTCGACAACTTTGTGGTCAACTTTTACTTCGAACAGATATTTCAATTGGTGATCTTGTTAATCTAATTGTAAGATAGATAAGAGCACAAAGAAAACACCAGCAACTAATCAATTCTATTTGTTCTTTATTTTTTTTAGCTTTCAGCTCTTGATAAATCAAATCATCAATTAGGTGTTTATATGTGGCGTTTAATTTCTACAATGGCTGAGCATGACGAATTACTTTTGTAATATTTGCTAAGTTTTATTTAAACGAATTCTTTACTTTTGTTTTTATTTTAGTCGAAAAATAAAATATATATTTGATGGTGGTTTAATTGATATAACATATGATAGTTTAGCTTATAAAGGTCAATCAGATTTTTATCGTCGACCATTTCTACAAACATTTGGTTTTGGTGTTTATTATACAATATCACAATTAATGAGTCGTCTTGGAGCTTTACGTGAAAGTGATTTTGATCTTCATATACAACAATATGAAAAGAAAGATAAATTTAATTTATTATCTGTAAGTTTACAAAGAAAAAAACAAAGAATTAAAAATTATTATTAATGTTTTAGTTTGGTGTAAGTGCTTCAGGATTGGAAGCTTATGTTAGTGATGATGGAAAAGCAAGTGATACACCAGATGAAAATCTTCAAGCTGAATTAAGAATTAATCTATTAAATATGCAATTACGACCTGTCATCTTATTTAGTGGAGTTACAGGATTTATGTCTGCTGTTTGGAGTGCACCATCGGAGCTTACATCGGCATTTAAAGTAAATCATAATCATAGATCTTTTTTTAGTATGATGATCAGTTGATTTGCTTTTTATGGGACTCACATCTATTTAAAGTCTTCATCGAAATTTGAAATGACTGGAATACGTTTCCGAAAGTTCGAAACAGTGCAGGTTTTTTTAAAATTTTTGCTTGCTATAGTCATCATACAGTCAATACAACAATGCCTGAAGTGATCAAATTATAACATTAGAAAATACTCAATATCAATATTTCTGAGCTTATTGAGATATATAATAGTATACTGAGATCTGCTGTTGATATAATAAATATGTATAAGAGTTTTATATGCTTGTTATATCAATGGTTAGAGTAATGTTAAATTAAGAAAAACAACAATACGAAAAAGAAAAATAACGAGTACATAGCAACAATGGAAAGAAAAAATTTCTGTTCGAAATACAGAAATAAATAAGACGGATCACTTCTCTAGTAGAGCCTATTGAATCCGGAATTTTCGAACTCAGTGCTGGTGTTGGTGCCGGTCGAATCGTACTTTGATACTTTCAATGAAATTTTCTGATCTTGATTGGATAGTCACACCGAAAATACGAGATATTTTTTCCTTAACTTTTTGTATTCGCTGACTAGAGTCCATAACGTTCAAAATTTTCGGATCCAACGGACTCTATTCTCTGACAATCGATGATCTTGGAGAACAACTGTAGTCTGTGAGAAGTTTTTCACTTTACGTATTTTGTATTATTGCAATGATGCTAAAAAAACACATGTGAGTTCTACGTACCAGCTCCCAAGGAGCTGTGGCTAACAAGCTTGTTGTTTTTATTCTAGAGCAATATAATGATACATGATTTATCTCGCTATATTCATCTGCATAATGGTCTTGTTGTTCATTATGAAGCTCAAAGTGCCGCTTCACTTGATTTATCTGGTATGGCATCTATAAGTTTATGGAATAAAAATTCACATTCAGTTATTCAAGTCAGGTTGGTTGTCTTAATAATTAATGTAATTATTTATTTATTGATGTATATATTTATATTTATTTTAGTTCGGGTCTTAGTGTACGTAGTCATGTTGATATTTTAAATGATTTTGTTATAACAGGCATTAATGTAACAATAAGTACCGATGTAGTTGTTGATTATATAACTGATGTTGATTATGCTGATACACCAATTAATGTTTGTATGCAAATGAGTGTAAAACCCTCGAAAATTTAGTAAGTGAAATTAAAATTTTAATTTGAAAAATATTAATGATTTTATTATTAGTGATAATGTGGAAAACTTCTATTCATTAAAACGAACAAAAGCTTTTCGATGGTTTGGTAGTCGTACACGTCATCTTCTTGGTCAAGACTACACATTTACACAAAAGAATGATGCCATGTGTCGACAAATTCATATGATTAAATAATGTTGTTTCCGTCTTTTTTTTTTAGAATAAAGAAAAATAAAATTCAGTATATTAGATTGAAACATAATCGAAATGGTTCTGTTATAATGAGAACAAAACATATGGTTAAAATAAAACATTGAATGGAGAAAGCTGATGCCATCAATCGGTGACGACTGAAATTTTTACATAAATCAAAAAAGAAATTTTCTTCATTTCGAGTAAAGAGAGAAAATAATGATAGAAAACTTATTGAAAAGAAATCAGACAGCAATATTTTTTTAAAACCAAACATCAATTTTGGTTTCGTGGCTGAAATCTTCACCAACCACAGCGGCGGCTGATATATCTTAAAAATGTGGCGGCTCAGTCAATCAGCTTACACCTCTAGAACAGAGAAAAGTCAATGAACAACCTTTTCAATTGTTGCTGTGTAGTAGTAGGGCTCTGCACAGAGTGAACTCAATTTTTTGCTGAAACTTCAGGAGGATAACATGAAACTTTGTCGAATAATAGGTTTTAATCTCTGATATTTACTGTACAAACTGATACATTTTGGACGTTCACAAAACGTTTAATAGAGACATCCGGGCACGAAATCAAACCGGAGTCAAATTCATTTCTGACTTTCTTTCACATTCATAGGCCTTGATGAGACGTCGTTGAAACATCTAAAATACGTCAATTTCTAAAGTAAATACCAGAGAACGAAATCTATTATTCAAAAATGTTTCGCATGCTAAAACTCAACTTTCAGCAAAAAATATTGTTGGCATCGTGTAGAGTTCCATTGCATAGTCTATAAATCTCTTGAATCTTCTTAAGCATCACTCTGAGATCGAGCTCTTCTAAATTTATTCAGATTTGCTTTTCTGAATAAATAACTTTCCGTCAATTGAGTCGGCTAAAGCTACTAAATATTTGTTTCTATATGAAACGCATTCATCGTCTACAGAGACTTCATGCGATACGTAGGCAAAAAAATAATTCGACGAACAAATGTCTAGTACAAGTGTGAAAGATCGTTTCTTTCATTATCAGAGAGGATTAGGAGAAATAGATAGGTCCTGGTAAATAACGAGAGCACATAAGACCAGAAAAAAGACTCTTTGTAACTGTAGGACAGTAGAACACGTCGGTTTAAATGATTTTATTCATGAGATACATTGTCTAACTTTAGGCGTTGTTTTTTCTATCATACGATTCAAGCCTACCTTGGACGTAATCTAGTGCGCAAACATAGGATTAGTTTCGAAGGATCATAACAAAAGTTACTCAAGTCCTATGAATACAAGTCACTTTATTTTAAGAATATTTATGATTCAGCTAAAGGAGATTCTTTTCATGAAAAGTAAAAATTATCAATAATCATGATGACATTTTATATAGATAAACTAGAATAATTCTTTTTTAAACAGCAATAGTTTCATCAATATTTGAATTGATTTAGAGAAAGCGTATGTTATTGTACATCGTTATTATTTTTTTTGTTTCTCTCGAATATTTCATTCTAATGCAAGAAACAGAAATCCAATGGAACAAAAAAAAACAATATTTACGGGTAAAGAGACGAAATCGGTGTTTTAAGAATATATTCGAATAGTGATTTTCGACTATTTTCAGTAGAATATCGTTCAAGATATCGATATAAATGCCATACTCTTGCACGTTGATTGAATAAATATTCATAAACTTCATAGAATGATTTAACTAATTTTTTATCTAGATAAGCTGCATAGATTAATGAACGTCCAGCTTCCGAAGCGGCCATTAATTGAATAATTGCTAAAAAGACATATATTTGAATAATACTTTGCTCGATATTTTGTTCAATTTTACCTTTCAATTGTCTATCACCATTGAATGCACCACAACCCCAACTTCCAGTGACAATACCGAACATACTTTCTCTTTCGATCTTCGTTGCTTGAGGATAGAAACTTGTATAAGCTTTGATTAACTCACGCTTGACATATCTCATATCATATTGTACAGTTGGATCTCGAAAAAACACAGCATCCATTGCTACTAAATGGCACCATTTTCGACCCCAATTATCTCTAAATACGTGAAGTATTCAAGAAGATTAGTTTTATGATGAAAATATTGAATTGAATAAATTGATAAATATTCCTTTCAATGTTTATAGTACGTCTATAATTATGGGAATCAATTAGTTTATCATGTATAAGAGAATTCCAGGTTATTATATTAAAAAACAAATCTAGTTTGAAGAGTAATATCTAATTTAAAAAAGAAAGCTCCAACATTAAAAAAACAGTATCTTCTCTATTGTGATCATTACTATTATAGATCGTAAAACACAATCATATAAAATTTGATGAAAAACATTTCTTACTTAGGTGTTTTATCTTGATAATTTCCATCAAATTGAAATGAATTGGCATAACCTTTGTATGATGAATATCGTTCACATCCAATAAGAAAAATACATTCATTCGATTCCATCTTTTCACATATAAGTAAACTAACAAGCATTTCAGGACAAATAGTAAAACGAATTTCTTCTTGTACACAACCGGCTCCTAAAACACCACCTCCCTAATTTTTTATATAATACTTTGGTAATTAAAAACCAGCAAACATGGTTATTTCGACACTTACAATATATTTATTAGCAAAATCAACCTAAGAAAACAAAGAATCGAAAGTACACAAAAGTTAATCATGCAAATTACTTGTAAAGCACATTCAACATCTTCGATTTTTTTACCCGTTGTCAAATGTATATCACAGAGACCTTTCATTGAAGTTGACCAATTGGGGATGAAATTATCAGGTAATGAAAAGCGTCCAAAACTAATTAGACCATTGGGCACTAGATAATAGCAGGGTTAGAACAATGGGAGAAATAAAATAATTCTAGATTCACTTTCATCTGTAATACGTCGAAAATAATGTAAAATACATTTGAGTTTTTCTATTTTTTGTGGAGGTCCATTTTCATATAATCTTGAAAATTAGTAATAAACTATAGATAAGAAAATCACTTATTATATATTTTTACGAATTAAAATTTGGATTTTGAAAATTTGCAGAGTCATCATTCTGTTCATCATTAGAACGACATGGAAATAAACAGAAAAATGCACAAGCTAATAATGAAGCTGCTTGTCGTTGTGACATTGTTACTGAACGATTTGTTCCAATGCGTAATAATGGTGGTGGCTGAAACATAGTATATTTCATATATGAAAACAAAAACAGACAAAAATCAATACTCGGCTACAAATTGTATCCACATGAAGTGCAAGATTACAAATATTGGATAGAACAATCGACATAAAATGAGCACGTTCATTGTGTGAATAAAGCTATTAATGATTATAAATTAGCTTTTACAATTAAAAGAGAACAAACAACTTACTTTAATAATTAGTGCTTCAAGACAATACATATCATAATGACGTCCAGCACAGCTTTCAATTGTTGTCTGTTGTACTATTTCGTTTATTGAAATTATAGTATAAATTAAAAATATTTACTTTTAAATCGTCAACAGTAGCCATTTTATTATCACATTTTTTTTTTAGATAAGCCAACCGATCAGTAAACATCGGCCATACAGGCTGTCTATTTCTCTTTATCAATAGAAATTAATGTAAAGAAAAAATTGAGAATATTTTCATTTACAAAGACATAGTATGATGAACATGGCATCAGAACATAATTTTTATCCCATCGATCAATATAAACACCAGAATTCGATGGCTTTGGTTTATGATTAGAATGAAATGAATCATAATTAAATGGTTATTCAAAAAAAGTATAATAAGTGTACTTTTTTTCAATAGAAAAAAATAGCTTACTGAAATCATAAATAAATATTTATCATTCTGGATTGTTTTCATATCAACCATTTGAGGGGGTTGACGATAAGCATTGGTAATCATGGCCAAGGATGTACCCTAGAAAACAATTTTTCGAAATGAAATAAACAATGAACCGTGAAATGTACTTTTGATAATTTGTCCTGGGGTTCATCTGCATTGCTAATATCATCATTTAACACAATTCCTACGTTATTTTATTTGTAAATTTTTCTAAAAACCTTCTATTAAAAACGTACACAAATCTAACGTACTTCTTCTTGGAGTTGCTACAGGATCATCGCTTTTCCTGTGTAACCGTCGATTGTTTAATCTGTTACTACTCATAGTATGATATGAAACGTTTTCACTAATCGAGTATTTTACTCTGAATAAAATGAGAACTGACTGCGCTTTCTTTTACAAGATAGGTAAAGTAGATGTTTGCAACTACCAATAAGGTATTTCTTCCATGCGCTGTGCAAATAATTTATTTTTTTTTTGTCTTCCATCAAAAGAAAAAAACTTCATTGGAAAGCAAAAGGAATAGAAAGAAAAAACTGAATCAAATAGTCAATATTAATAGATGCAGATGTTTCATATAATCGAAAAAGAATTGCGAACATACAAAGGTGTAACTTGCTCTATTTCATCAAATTTTTTTTTATTAAGTATTTCCCCAATACTGGACTTTTTTTCAAGTTTATTGTTATTCTTATAAATGTGACATTGACTTGGCAATGAACAAAATTCATCCAATGTGATCGTTATGCCAATAAAAGAAATTTTTTATCTGTAGAAATCGATAATAGGTCTCTTGCGGACGCAACAGATTGTTTTTATTGAACAAGATTTAGTTGCGCAAAATTCAATATCTATAAAACAATTTTAATATAGGTATTTTCATGCTTATTTCTAAATATGAAATAGAGAATTTTAAGTAATACGTTGATAATAACGATATGCGGAATCAAATTTTTTAGTTCCGATGGCTTCTTTCTGAGTACTCTCAGGTTCAGTGATTTTAGTTTTTCTGGACATCTTTAGTAAATTATGTTCTCATTAATATAATCTACAAAAGTCTCTACCCTAGAGGGTCTCAGCTATTATAAATGCTAGAAATCTGAAAATTTTTGTGTACATACTTTCATCAAAATTGCAGGTCAGAGATACAATTTTCCTTCGATTGCTTAAGTATAGAGATAATTATGATAGATGGCATCTATTTTTGAATTAAGAATTTTAACCTGAAAAGGACTGTCTAGTCATTTTTGCACTACTTTCTTACCAAATACATCATTAATTCATGATGTTTTTGAGTAGAACTGAAGTTCAATCTATGATCATTTTGTACTCAGAAGATGAATTGATTTACTCGAATATTGGCATCTCTAGATGTTTCTGAATACTCCACTTCATCATCAATACGCTGTTCATAGGACGTGGATGTGGGTGTGAGTGTGAGTGTGTGTGAATTTGGTTTGGAGCGTGGGTCTTTCTGTAGCTGGGGGGCATAAATCGTGCATCTGTTCATACCCATACCCTGTTTCGCTTCAAGCATACCATTTATCTTTGAATATTTTTTTTAACCAATTTGTAGAAAATAAAAAGTTACATGACATGTATAAAAATTTAGCATGGCACTCTGTAATTCTGAATTTCGAGAGGACATAGACCGTTATATAATGGACACTTTAGACTCATTAAAAGAACCTTATAAAACATGAGTTACTTGATATTATATTATATTAAAATAGCTCATTTTGTTCGGCTTTTAATTTGCTACCTTGTAGTATATTTTATAGAAAACTTTGATAAGTCCTTACAACAAAAATGAGCAAGAGTTTACAGATTTTTTTGTTGTCTTTTCTCATAAACATATGATAATAGTAAAAAGTCGATATTGACTAACCTGTCAAACGAAGCCAATTGGCAGCTACAGTTTTGAGGTAGGTGGTTGCAGACCATATGTAGTCATGATCTTTTACACGTTCTGTATAATATTTTGTCTGATTCAGTTATTTTTAAAAAAGATTTCCGATGGTGAAATTGTTCGTGCTTTATTCATTATTCATCATAATAGTTCCTTTTATTGCTTGTAATGAAGATTATTTGTTTCTCGCTTGCTGTTGGTCCTAAAAATTCTTCTTTGGCTTGCATTGATGATGAAATATTGCTCATGTTTTTATGTGACTTATTAAATCTTGTGAATTTAGTTCTTCACTATATAGATGCTATTGTTCTCGCTATCAGAAACACATTTTTTTACAGTAAAATAAAGGTTTCAATTAAATGTCATTACTTGAGCGAAGCAAAGCACATATTGACTCTTGTTTCATTACATCGGAAGTCATTCAACCATAGTGATTATATTTACATCAGGATTATCGAAAAAAACCTAGAAAAACTATGAAAATTCTATCTGTAGAGTAATCTCATAATATGCATAGTCCAATAAAGGCAAAGTTTTTTTTTTGTAATGGCTATTCTTGTCAGTCAACTAAAACTAATGGTAGTTAAATAAAAATAAAGTTATGTGAGAGAAATTGATCATGATGAATGAATTTTAATATTATCATTTAGACTATGAGTACTCTCCATTTTTTCGTATTTCTCGATTTATTTGTTATGTAAAGTAACCATATAATATTTTAGTATACTAGAATATAATTATCATCAAATGTTCTTCATTCATTACGGTGAGCACAAAACAATGAACTGTAAGTATTCGATTGGAGATTTCTTGTTTTTGTTTTCTACTTTTTACACAAAGGAATTTTTTTATTTACATATGTTTATCCTAGTATGAATGTGCTAGTGCAATTCTTAATACATCAAAGATCATTTTATGACAGCATTCGAAAATAGAATGAAGTAGTAAAATAAGAAAATTGACATGTTGAGCCGTGAAAAAATCTATACATTTGTTTCTAAAAAGTATATATAAGAATAATTCCTGTTTAAAAATCGAAATAGACAGTTTGACAATATTTTTCAATAATTTAGATTAGAAAATAACTAGAAGACAAACACATTATGAATTTGTTGTCTTTAATTTCGTTAGTTTATTCCTAATTGCCGAACAAATCAATGTAGAAAAATAACTCGCATACTTGCGAAAGATATCAATTAGAATATTTTCACTATTTCAATAGGTGTTTATCAGATTTTTGACTTTTCTACTACAAAGCTTTTCTGCATATCAATCATCGACGATAGATTTCTTAGATAAGACAAAATCGAGTCATGCAGAAAAAATTAATTATATTTCAATAACTCTTTGTTTATCAAAAAGGTCATGTTTTTTTGTACTAAGATAACTTTGACAGACTACTTAGATGGTTTTGGGTCTATCAGAATTGCTCATTTTCTCACAATCGGATTGATTGTCAATGAAAGTTTTATTTATATGAGTTTCTTACAGTACACAATTTCGAATAATCATAAAGTAACATGATTAAAAGAAAAGTTCTATTTTGTATCTTGATTATATTCTAAGTAAACTTAATTCGAGTTTCTTTTTTATCACAAAAGAACGCTGATGACCTTCGAGATACATTTTTTTTTGTTTGACTTGCGTTCACTGACTTGATAAGGTATAAAAAAATTCTACTCGATCGAAGATTATCAATCAATGAAGTAAATACTAGAAAAGGAAATTAGTATACAAATACATTTTTGATCGATCGAAGTGAAAAAATATTTCACAGGTTCGAATCAATGGTTAATGTTAATAAAATACTCGTCATGAATCTAACAATGAACAATGAAAATGTGAAGAAAATTGTTTTTGATGGTGTGTCAACGTTAAAAGAAAGAAAAAATTTCTAAGAATATTTGTTCTTGTGCTTCAACAAAGTGTTATACATTCTCATTTGTTGTACAACAAATGAGAATCAATTATAGTTGCATAGTTACTTTCCAATCTGCCTTTGGCTTATTCAAGACACAAATAAAACAAAACAAAAAAGAACAATATGTTAAATAGTTTGACAACATTCTAAACAAAAAGATATTCATTTGATTTGAATCAATTATTTTACGAAAAATGAAATTTTTTTGAATTCAAGTAAGAAAATTTTCCTTTTTTTAAATTTAACACTTATTTTAATAATTTATAATATAATATTGATAAGACAAAAGCATTAAAAAAAATTTCATAGTTGAATTATCTCCATTGTTGCAGATGATCGTTTAAATTAATATTTCTATTTGAGTTTTTCAAGATAAGCATTAGCTATGGGTTCATGTTCAAGTGTAAAGAAAGTTGATAAAAAAATTCAGGCTTCGCCAGAAGATGACTACAGTGTAGTTCCCAGTAAATATTTATCATCTTCTAATCATTAGTTTTCTTTTAATAATAATCATTTTTTAGTAACA